TTTTACTCGTCTGGTCCGGCGGACCAGCTCCTGGTCCGCCGGACCGGACGTCTGAAAACACTAAATTGCGAAAATCTCGGCTTTTCTTGGTAGGGACGCGTGAGGAATGATTTGGATCATTCTTAACCCGACTCTTGACCTCCAGAAGAGCCAAGACTGCTCTGCAACTCTCCCAAACTCAATAAATTGTTCTTGAGATCATACACAAGAGATTTGATCTCTTCAAGCTCTAGCAAGCAAGTTTCCAAGTGTTGGAAACCATCCCAAGGGTGTGGACTACTCAAGAGGGTGTTGGCTGCTTCAACACCTAGCTGTGATCTACAACAACCTTCTGATTCGGAATCAAAAGGTTAGTTCTACTCTCCAAGAGGTTCTTCACCGAAACCATGGTCCGTGGGCGGTTCAAAATCGTTTTGAACGCCAATTCCGCTGCGCAAGCCCGCGGACCAGACCCGAGACCGGTTGTGAACCGTTGCTCGAGGTCCCCGTGCGACCCATCAAAAAGAGTGATGATTTGATGAGGCAAAGTCAATCTATCATACATGCTATGCATAAGCAAAGTGATACGATGAAAAACGAGTATCGTATTCGGTTGAATGCCTCAATTAGTTCTTCTAGATATTTGTTGAATCAAGGACTACCATTTCGAGGCCACGATGAGTTAGAAATTTCTGATAATAAAGGAAATTTTCTGGAACTTGTCAAATATACTGCAGAACAAAATGAAGGTTTGAGTAAGGTTGTTTTGAAGAATGCTCCGGGGAATAGTCAGATGGTTTCTCCAAAAATCCAGAAAGATATTGTACAATGTTTTGCAGAACAAATAACCCAAGACATAATTCAGGAGATTGGACATGATGTATTTGGATTGCTGGTGGATGAGTCTAGTGATGTTTCTGACAAGGAGCAGATGGCAGTAGTTTTTCGTTTTGTTGACAAGAACGGGATAGTGAAAGAGAGATTTATTGATCTTGTTCATGTGAAAGAAACATCTAAAACGGAACGAAAAACGGATTCGAACAGAGCTCGAAATCAGATCAAGTTGAAAAACTTCGTCTGATTTTCTGCCCAGAGTCACGCGGTCCGCCGGACCAGAATTGGTCAGCGGCGGACCGCACGTTCGAAAGTCAGCAGCTCGTCGGGCGGACCAGAGGAAGCGGACCAAGAGAGAAACGAAGTCCTGGTCCGGCGGACCAAGAGTTGGTCCGGCGGACCAGACTTCGATTTTGGTCTTGGTAGGCCGGCGGA